CCATGCCTGGTTACAAATATCATTTTTAAAAAAGATAATAGTAATGATTTATTTGCTGATTGCTAGTGAATGTCTCTTAACTGGAAGGTAGGACTCACTTGGTGATGCTAAGTAATTTAGGAACAGAGAAGATGAAAGTATGTTTCTGCTTAAATATTAGAACCAAATGAAGCTTGTAAAGTTGTCTTCCCTCTCTTAATTGTCTTAGTCCTCCTTAAGACAAAGTTGAATGGTGTCACATAGGGAGAGTAAAAAAGCTATATGGGGTTCTGTATTTGACTGGAAAGGAGGATAAATATGTATTAGTCAGCTCCATTTACTACAATAAAATACACCAGGCAGCTGAATTGCAAAGAGAGAAAAGGTTTATTTAGCTTACAGTTTCAGAGGCTAAAAATCCAAATGACAAAGTGCTCAATAGCCATGCCTGGGTGGCTATTGAGCACTTTGTCATATGGCCTCATGGTCCTAATGGCAGGAGTTTATGTCAGGAGCAACCTAGTAATTACATCTCGAATCAGGAGTGGACAGCAAGGGAGCACTTGGGGCCCCACAATCCACTGTGAGGATATGCCCCCAATGACCCAAGGACCTTCCACTAGGCCCCATCTGCTAAAGGTCCACAGAACTTCCCACTACCACCACCCTGGGGACGAAGAAGCATTTACATATGGATCTTTGGAGGCGGTTCAACATCCAAACCATAGCAGGGTATCACAAGCATGAGGGTTGATGGGCACATCAGGATGAGATACTAAAATCAGCCACGTTCCAGAAAATGGGCTGAAGAGATAGTGGTGAGAGGTAATGGAACAAGGTAATGAGGAACTCAATAAAGACCTTGAATTCTATTCTTGGGAGCTTAAAATTTATACATGGGACAATTGAGCATTTATGTGTTTCCAGAAATGGAAGTATTTTTTTCTTTCTTTTCTCTAAGCTACAGCATGTGGACACACTTGACAGCACCCTCTCCACACCCATGAGGAAAAATAACCCATCCAACACAGAACACCAAATCTGAGATGTTGTGAGAAGTCACTCGATTTAAACCCAGCCCTTTCCTGCACTGCTTGTTTTAGGAAATGTGCCTCCACACCTCCTCAATGTTACCTTGAATTCAGAATTAGAGTGAAAAGACTAAAAAATGGGAAATGTCCTAAAATACTAAATCACCGTTTACATTTACCTGAAAAAACTGTTCATAGTGTCAAGGTGAAAGTGACTATGACAGGTGGTGGGGGGTGAATGCTCATGGAGAGAAGAATAGTGTTTAGACGGACTTCTGTGATATTGTCTCCCTATTCTTCCCAATAGATTGCCCATATTCCCTGAAAGGGATTCTTATAAGCATAACCATAGTGAAACCCACTCTTAACCATTCCCTAACAAAGTAGTGTTTAGGACAGCTACTCCTTTCACCATTCTATTGCTGCTGTTTTTTCAATCATTCAAATTTATATGGACTCAAATCTCTAGGCTACTATATTGCACAGCACAATTCTAAAATATGAATATTGCATTTCTTGTGCTTTGGGGCTCTCATTAAGGAAGTCAGTGCCTGCACCTATATGATGGAATGTTGACCCTATGTTTTCTTCTAGCACTTGTAAACTTTATGGTCTAATTCCTAAGTCTTTGATCCATTTAGATTTGAGTTTTGTGCACATGAGAGAAAGAGGTCTAATTTTACTTTTATATATATAGCTACCCAGTTTTCCCAGCACTATTTGTTTAAAAGGCTGTCTTTTCTCCAAGATACATTTGTGGCACTTTTGTCAAACAACAGACAGCTATAGGTATGTGGGTTTTTCTCTACGTCATCTATTCTGCTCCCTTGGTCTTCATGTCTATTTTTGATGCCAATACCATGCTGTTTTGTTACTGCAGCTCTGTAATATAATTTCAGATCAGGTATTGTGATGCCACCTGCTTCGCTTTTCTTGCTTAGTATTGTTTTGGCTATTCTGGGTCTCTTATTCTTCCCAATGAATTTAAGAATTATTTTTTTCTGATTCTGTAAAGAATGTCATTAGTATTTTGATGGGTATTGCGAAAAATGCAACCAAGAGTCAGTAAGTGGAATCATTAAACTAAAAAGCTTCTAAACAGCAAAGGAAATAAGAGCGTGATGAGAGAGCCTAATGAACGGGAGAAAATCTTGGACAGCTATTCCTCCAATAGGGAATTAATATCCAGAATATACAAAGAACTCAAAAATTTAACACACACACACACACACACACACACACACAGGTCCAATCTATAAAAGAGCTAAACAGAAATGTCTCATGAGAAGAAACACAAATGGCCAACAAATATATGAAAAAAAATGTTTAACATCTTTAGCAATCAGAGAAATGCAAATCAAAACTACCCTAAGATTTCATGTCACTCCAGTTAGAGTGGCAACAATCAAGAATAAAAACAACAATAAATACTAGTATTGTGGGGGAAAGGTACACTTGTACATAAAGCTCTAATAAAGCTCAAATAAAGCTCTAATAAGAAATAAAATATGGATTTCTTCATATCCTGTCCTAAAAAAGCTGTAGAATACATTCACAATAACCGAACTATGGAATCAGCCTAGGTTTCTATCAGTGGATAAATGAATAAAGAAAATGTGGTATGTATTCACAACAGAATTTTATTCAGCCATAAAGAGAAATGAAATTATGTCATTTGCAGGGAAATGGATGAAATTAGAGATCATCGTGTTAAGCAAAATAAGTCAAGTCTGAAGGGCAGGGGTCATATGTTTTCTCTCATATGCAAAAGCCAAAGGATAAAAGAGGAAAAAAAAGGTGGGGGCCGGATCTCATAAAAATCAAAGGGAGCCCAGTAGAGAAAATGGACCTAAAATAGAGGGTCAGTAGTGGAGGGAGGGGGAAGTGCTGGAGAGTGATATTGGCCAAATTAGATTGTTATATTTTGTGTCTATATGAGTCTGTAACAGCAAATCCAATCATTATGTACAATTATAATGTATCAATTTTAAAATGTGGGAAAATAAAGATCCAACCCATTCAAAAAAAAGCTGTAGAATAATATTTAGAGTCAGTTGTATATATTGAATAACCCTCATAGTTCAACCTCCTCTTTGTTTTCTACCACCCAACACCCTCATCCCAATTCCACATGTACTCTAGTGCTGTAGAAATTTGATTTTCATAAATAATCCATAATTTTTAGATCTCCTAGATTTTGATCCTGCTCTCTATCTAGAATGCTCATCCCTGACTTCCTTCCTTTCAAATTTTTACCCATTTTCAAGGCCTAATGAAGAAAGCCCTGGACCCTCCCTGGACCCATCCCCATATCCTTGGCCTTGGGCAAGCCATTTGGCATGTCTTAGCCCAATTTTCTCTTCTGTCAAGTGGAAATGATAACCCTGACTCTCTTAAAGTTGCCGGGCTATTAGATATCTCATGTTTTCAGACACCACCACTGAGAAAACATGAAATATAAACCGTTGTTTTAATTTACTGTCCTTCTGTAATATTTGTGGTATTAGGGGTCTTTCCAGATGGGATTCTTTCCCCCACCTCACTCCATCAGAACTGTGAGTTTATTAGCAATGAAGCCTCAGTCTTGTGCATTATGGTCCCCCAGCATTGAACACACTGTAGCCATTTGACAAATGCCTTGGCTGAGTGGAAAAATAAATGAGCCAATTACACACACACACACACAGACACACACACACACACACACACACATATATATATATATATATATATATATATATATCTTATGTATATGTATCTTTAGGGAGGCTAAAAATCATACAGTTATAGCAAGAATGAGAAGAAAAGAATGCAAATAACTTTAAAGTAGCAAATATTTCTTGTTACTGCCCTGAAAAGCTGGCAAAAGTCTGTCCTAGAGCCCGTTCTCCTTCTTGCTTGGGTGAAGTATGAGCTTTAACATTTTGTCATTTTTCGACTTTCCCTTCTGGGTCCCTGATTTCTCTGCCACCTCCTCCCTTCCCATAGGGACTAAGCTTTCATCACCGTCGCCAAGGCAACATCAGGGATGCCTCATTCCTTGCAGCTCTGCCTGTCTAAACGCTGGTTGCCTTTGTCCACTGAGTGGGCTGAATTTTTTAACCGCTCACCACCGAATCAGCTATCTTTTATACAGAGGTTTATGCATTCGTCTACCTTTTAAAAATATTCTGTTTAAAAATTTCTTCTCTTGCAAGGGTCCTTATCCAGACCTGCCAATTCCTTGAACGCACCAGACAGTTTTTGGTGCCTAGAAGCAAATATAAAAATCGCCTGTTTAGCCTTTGTAAGCATGTGCAACATAAATGCGGGCCAATTTAAAAGCACGCAACAGAGCATTCATAATGGGTCTCCCTTTTAAAAGCAGAGTAGACCAAAAATAAACCTGACAAAAGGCAGCTGTAGAGTTTTAACATGTGGAAAACTCCACAGGCAGCAGTTATGTAACTTGAAAGAAACATGATAAATATTTCACACCGTTAGATGAACTTCCAATTCGGACACGTGAAAAAGCAAAGAACACAAAACACACCTTAACTCCCGAAGGAGCAAAACGCTTAAACTGAGAAGGGGCCAAGGCTATTCTAAAACCTGAGACCTGACTTCCAGCACCATCGTGATTGCTTTTCTTTTTTTCCCTAAAGTCCGAGGCGGAGCTCGCGAACTCCCTCTCCCAACGCTTCCCTCGCGGTTTCGCTCGTTCGGCAGAATTTTTTCCAACAAGCTCTTAGCCCTAAGCTGAAAACCGAAAAAGAAGTTTTGTGCGCAGAAGAAAGGGATCGGGGCGAGGCTGGCGGAGCCCGCCCCCAGCTCAACCCATCACCGACCGCCCCCCCGCGCCCCCCACCCCTGTGCGCGCCTTCTGCCCGGAGCTCCTCGCCCTGGGGACAGCTGGCAGCCCGCGCAGGACCAGACACAAAGCCGATCAATCCCGGCGGCGCGGGGGTGGGGGAAAGACCCGCCAAGGCTTTCCCTTCCGCTGCTAGATTACTGCTGCACCCCCACCACTAGGACCCAGCGGACACCTTGTGTCGCTTCCACGCCCCCAGCCCACTCCCCTCCTTAAAAAAAAGAACGGCCCGGAGCCCCCATCCCAGGACTGGACGATTGAAGACCGGCCTGTTGGCAGCCTGCGGAGAAGGCGCCCGGGGAAGAGAAACTGACATCCCTTCAGGACCCGCCCCTCCCCTCCGCTTCCTCGGCTCCGCGTCTCTCTCCTCCTCGGCAGCCCCAGAAGTTCGGGGCCCTCGCCCGCCTCCCGCGCTCCTGCCGCTGGGACCCTGGACCTCCGCGCCGAGCAGCTAGCTCCGGACCCGGGAAGATGGCGAGGGGGAGCAGCCACCGCCTCCTCCTGCTGTTGCTGCGCTACCTGGTGGTCGCCCTGGGCTGTAAGTTGCTCGGGTACCTCCACCCGCCCACCCATCCACCGCCTCCTACTTGACCAGCCTCCCCCAAACCTCCAGCGCCCAGACGCGGCGCACGCGGACCGCGCCTCTGCGCCCCTGGGCTGGGGTGGGGGGCTCTGTACAGGGGCAACACGTTTTACACTAAGCAAGTGGGAAATGCCGGGGGCGGACGGGTGCAGGTACTGGGAGCCGGGGATCTGGGGTTTCTGGTAAATAGCGCCCGATTTCGTCAGTTGTAGTTCGAAAAAATTAAGGGTGTCCACTAGCAGATTCTCATCTTCTTACAAAGTTGGGGTAAGTTTTCAAAGACACCGGGGACGTGATCAGAATACAAAGCTCTACTCCTAAGATGCTAAGAGCCCAAGGAAGATGGCATCACTAGGAGGCAGGCGCCGGCCGCGATTTAAGTACCGACAGGCGGAGGGGCCAGTGGCAGAGTGGACACGGCTTCTAGGGGTCCCTTCTGGGCGGACGGTTTGCAGGGCGCTTGTGCGAGGCGTGGGTGGGGGAAGTTCGTGGCTGCCGAGCCACAAGTACTTTTATCCTCTCCACCTGCACATGGACCTTCAGAGAAGTCTGGTCTGGTGACTCTGGCCAGCTGCTGTGTCCTCAGGAGACGTCCAGTGGGACAATAGTTAGAAAGATGCAAAAGCCCAGTGATCGAGTAGCTTAGTAGGGGAGACATCTCAAAGCCAATTTCACGGGATGGTTTTAAAAAGGATTTTCACAGATTCTGAACTCACGAGATTTAAAATCCTGGGAACGTTTCCTTTTGTTTTCTTCTCGTTAACTTTTATTTTTATTTATTTATTTATTTTGAAAAAGACAATAGACCTTAAGCAATGAAGTCTTTGTCTCTCGTTTTTTCCCCATTCTTTCGTTTTTTTCTATTTTTCTTTCCTTTAAAAAAAACATAAAATGAGTTATTGTTTCTATTCAAGTCCTAGTAATAATAAGTATAATACTTAAAACAACCTGCCAGATGAGTGTCTTACACCACAATAGAATGACTTTTCCCACAATCTCATTGCCCAAATAATCATTGCTCAGCCCAATGTCAAGACAGCTGTGTTCTTTAGAGGGGAAGGAGGGTGCATATTGTCTCAAGGAAGGAACATGTGCTGATCTATAATAAAGAAAACCAAACCAAGAAGGCAGAGTTTCACAATTAAACCTTTGTGCAATTTTGAAATATCAATTGGTATCACACTGAACAGCAAAGAGAAAAAAAAATGTGCCCATGCAGAAAGGCAACAAAGACACAAGCTGGAGGAACTGTAACAAAACTACTGGGCAAGATATGCATTCCACTGAAAGTTTAAATATCTAAAAACATTGTGATTTTAGTATAAAATGTGTTAATTAAAAACAGTGAAAATCATTTTACTCTCTTATTTCTATTTAGGCATCAAAATAGGAACAATATACCCTAAGTTTGAAGTTGTAGCCAAGAAACAACCAAGAGGCAATCAATCCACAAAAAATAAGATAAAATAGAATAAATAGATTAATGGGCAGGATTAAAGTGTTGGGTAAATATATAATATATAAATATATAATATAGGGCCTCTGCTAATCCTAATTTATGTAGAGGTTTAATTTGGAAGTATTGTGGTAACCTTTTCCATATTGTTCTTTGGTTGTCAAAAAGTCTGGCACTGCAAGTGTTTTCTTGCATTTTTTATTTTTTATTTTTGGGGGGGTTGGTGTACAGTACTGTGACTGAACCCAGGGATGCTATATCCCTAGTCCTTTTATTTTTTATTTTGAGAAAGGGTCTCACTAAGTTGCTGAGACTAGCCTTGTACTTGACATCCTCCTCCTTCAGCCTTTTGAGTTGCTGGGATTACAGGCATATACCCCACACCCAGTTTCCCCTGCTGTTTGTATCTTATTAGTACAGTACACAGTACACTTTGTTCAGGTTTTCCTTATTTTTCTTTGGTGTCCTCTTCTGTTCCAGGATCCCACATTCCATCCAGTCCTCATGTCTCCTTGGGCACCCCTTGGCTATGGCAGTATCTCAGATTTCCCTTGCTTTGTATTACTTTGACAGGTTTGAAGAATACTAGTCAAGTATCCTCATGGTATTTCTCTGATGTTTTTCTTATGACTCAAATGGGTTCTAGGGTTTGGGGAGGAGGACCACAGAAATAAAGTGCCATTTTTGCCATATTATATTTAGGTAGCATACTGTAAACATGACTTACTACTGTTGATGTTGACCTTCTTCACCTGGCTGAGGTAGTGTATATCAGCTTTCTGCATAGGTTACTTACCTGTTTTCCTCATTTCCATGCTATATATTTTGGAAGGAAGTCACTATGCACAATCCACAATTAAGGAAGGAGAGCTATATTTTACCTGCTTGAAGGTATAATAGCTTCATGAACTATTTGGAATTCTTAGGGAAAGAGGATGTGTCTCTTGTTTATTTTAACCCTTATTTTTCTATCCACATGGGCTCATACATATTTGCTTTATACTTTGGTTGGTAATCTAATACTATTTTATTTATTAAAGACTTGGTGGATTTCTTATGCTACAATTATGTACTCATCTTCTTAATACTCCTCCCAAATGTAATTGTACCATTCCTTGTCCCAATCCTGACATATCTAATTATAATATTATGCTTATTCTATTTTTTCTACTATTTCTCAACCTTTTAAATATATTTCTTAGTACTCTAGAGGATCTTTTATTGTTTTTCCTGTCACTTAAAGTATGAGTTCAATGTCTTTATTGATATGGATATTTATTTTTGTGTTTAGTTGATGTTTTAGTCATCTTTCAGTTACTATAACAAAATACCTGAATAATCAACTTAAAAAAAGAAAATACTTATTTTGGCTCATAATTTCAGAGATTTCAATCCAGTTTTGGTTGGCGCCTATACTTTTGGCCCTGTGAACACATCACATCATAGTGGGGAGCACATGGTGAAGTAAATCCTCTCACATCATGGCCTAGATGTGAAAAACAGAGAGGAAAGGGTAAGAGTCCCACTGGTCCCCTCAAGGGTACACTAGAAAACCTCCCATTATGCTAACCAATTAAAATCTCCTCCTCTTCTGAACAGCACCACAGGCTGCAGACCAAGACTTTAAAACACAGACAGGGTTTAGGGAGACATCTATCTAAACCTTAGCAGTTAAATTATATTTTTCTTTCCCACTCCAATAATCCAGTGCTGAGCAAACAACTTAGTTAATAGTAGATGTGAACATGTACCTGTTGATTAATTAACTAATACACTAATGGTGTATTAATTCATTTAGGCTGCTGTAACAAAATACCATAAACTGGGTAGCTTGGTTTTTTTATTAACAGTTTTGGAGGCTGGGATGTCCACAATTAGCACAGGTGTGTTCAGTGTCTAATGAGGGCTCACTCCCTGGCTCAAAGATGACTCCCTCTCTTGGAGTCCTCACGTGATGGAAGGTACAAGGCAGCTCTCTGGGGCTTCTTTTAATTTTATTTATTTATTTTTTGGTTCAGGGGATTGAAACCAGGGGTGCTTAACCTTGGAGCCACGTTTCCCAGCCCTTATTATTTCTTTAATTTGAGACAAGGTCTTGCTAAATTGCTTGGAGCCTCACTAACTTTCTGAGGCTGGCTTTGAACTTGCGATCCTCCCACCTCAGCCTCCCAAGCTGCTGGGATCACAGGTTTGCACCAGCTCTGGGGTCTCTTTTATGAAGGCACTAATCTCAATCACCTAATCATCTCTCAACAGCCCCATATCCTAATACTATCACATTGGTGATTAGGTTTCAACATATGGATTGCTTTTTTTTTTTTTTTTGCAGGGGGTGGGGCAGCTGCAAAAACATTCAGACCATGCAAATGGAAGGGAATGAGGTAGGGTCGGTAGACAAAAATATATAGACTTAATAATTACAGTATAAATTCTGAAGCACCACCTACATATTGAATAGGTAGGGTATTAAGAGTTTCCGGAGGTGTCCGTTAAGCTGTTATATCCAAAAAGAGAACGAATGAGTGTTTGGTACTGGGGAGGGGCTGTCGTCTTTTGGAGATTAGCCAAGGAGTTGAGTGAACAGGAACAGTTCCTGACACTAGCTGGCTGATAGAAGCTGGTCTTCAGATCTGCACTGAAACACAAGCCAGCCACTTGGCCTGAGTCTATAATCTCATAAACCAATAAGGACTTAGGTAGGAGAGGTCTTGATCTTTTGTAAAATCACAAATTCTTACTTCTGGCAGTACTGACCCAAAACAGCACTCCAGGGGAACCCATGCCAGGAAAATTCTGCCTTCTGTAAACATTGTTAAGAACAAAGCTTCCTAATTAATTAGCTGAAGGGAACCAGTTCCATCTTGGCATGGCCTCCGTTAGCTGATGATATAAAGGTCAAAATGAGCTTGTTGGTGAACCTGATAACCATTTCAAGACTATAACAGAAAGGATATTAGAAAAAGGTCATAAACAAAAACTGCAGCCTAAAGAGAACAGTGAGTTCCCCTTGGCTGAGAACATTCCTTTACCCTTCCACCTGTGTCATGAGAGGCGCCCAGGAGAGCTTACAGATGTTGCCTGCCAGCTGGGGAATGCAGCTCAGTGGGGGAGCACTTGCTATGGATGCTCACCCCTGGTGGTTGCCACTGTGATGCTTTTCTCCCGTGGGTCGTTTTGCTGGAGAATCCATGTTGGACTATAGGTAAGAGGTACACTCTTTGTTAAAGTCAAAAAGCACCTGTATAGGTTATTATTAAAAATAACATATTCTTTTCATCCCATAGTGACAAAGTGGTAGCACTACTGAGTCCAAACTCTAGGATTCCCCTGTTGACAGACTGACATCTAGAGGAAGGTAAGGGTGAGAATGGAAAAGGGGAATTAGAACCTGGGTCAGGTGTTTCCTTTGGTAAAGGCAGAAAAAAAAAAAAAAATCTTAAAACTGGGCACTGTTTTCTTGAAGGGTAGAACTGAGAAAAACAACCCAACTAGTTAATTT